AGTCCTGGATGGAACGCACAATCTTATCAGTATCCTACAAATAAAGTTGCCAACATTGAAAGTTTTCACTACAATGAACAAAGTGGAAGTAAAAGTGAAGCAGAGATTACCTCATCAGCGATCTTGAGAGGTGGCATATCCCCAGCCAAATCTACCACCTGTGGCTCCACCACTTCTGAAGACGTCCCTTTGTCTGAGCGAGAAGACTTTGCCATAATGAGCAAACCCATGGGAGCATCTGCAAAGCTCAAAAAGCAACAAATCAAAAACCAATAGCACAAGCAAAGGTAAAACATCAAAAAATATATTACCTTCTGGTTCAACGTTTGGGGGGTTGACGCCCTGAGAAGAAGGTGGCTCATCCATTGGTTGTGATGAGGATTTCGGGACTGAAGGTTTCTCTTTAAACGTAGTCCCTTCATCAGCTGGTTTGGATGAAACAGCCTCAGCAAAGGGTGATGGAGTAGGAGCTGCCAACACCAAAGCCTTTGAAGGAGAGGCTGAGCTTTTCTGAGAAATCCGAATAAACCATCAGCACATAGAAAAGTTTCAAGTATAGAAAGGTATGCTTGTGAGTAAACTAATTTAATTACCTTTCTCCTGACAATGAGAGGAGTGTCATCATCATCATCATCATCATCATCTTCCAAAATGGGAGATGCTGAGGCTGGCCGTTTGCGGTTTGGGATACTTTTAGATGCAGTAGGCTTGGCAGGAAGGGAAGTAGATGGACGAATAGACTGTTTAGCACGACCAGAAGAGGAAGGACTCCTAATGGACGCAGGGGTGACCAAAACAGGGAAAGTGGAAGAAATGTCCGGCTGATCCAGTAAATGGAAAGCGCGATTGACATCAGTTGCAAACAATCGGCGCTGCACTGATGGCTAGAGTTGTTCAAAAAGGGGATGGGTGGCATGGCTAGGATTGAAAGGAGCTAATGAAAAGTTACTCGTCAAAAGAATATTGCGAGCATTTATAACTTCTGCCTCTGCCTTATTTATGGTGTAGAAGCGATCTATCAAATTTTTTGAATAACAAGGGGGAACAAGTCAAGTTTGGCCGAAACCAAGTTGACGAACAAAAAATTGGGGAACATATATTTCAACCCCAGCTTTGGCATTAGTTCCAGTCAAAATATCATGGAACACCTCCCTCACGGTCAAAAACTGAAACCAAACGAGCAGAGAGGTGCTCGCATTTTCCAGGGTAGATGGGGGGGTGCACATAATCAGGAGTTAAAAGGGAGAAAAAGGAAAGAAAGAAGGAATTGAATTCAAAGTATAAAAGAATGAAAAAATATCCCTTTTGGACATATGTACAGGGCTCAGTGGGTCAATAGCTAGCCCATAGCAACTAGCAGAATGAAGGGAAAGGGATAGAGTACCAAGTGATGGAAAATAGGCTCTCAACCACATTTGAGTGAACCAAAGAGGCCCACTGTCAGTGGGAGATGCACCATTCTTCAATTGGAATTGGAGAGAAGTCATGCCTCTATAAAGGGCGGCTAAAAAGAAAGAACACAAATTCAGAGGCCTACCACGCGTCAATTCGTGTGCTATGGATAAATAGCTCATAGAAGGTTTCAGGCTTGGCACACACAGAATCTATTTACAAAGCCAAATCTGAAAAAAGGCCACACTCTCAGCGTTCGAGTGATTATAACAGCCTTACAGGCTTGAATAGGACTCGGTGATTTTTTTGTCAATACCAAAAATCAAAATACCAGGGAAAATGGTATCACCCAAAGGTGGTAAATTTACTAAGGCCCCAACATCCCTTAAAGTAATGGACGTTGGACCAAGAGGAAAAATAAAAGTATTATACTCAGAGGATCAAAAACCTAATGCAATAGGGAAAAGCACTGAATCAAAAATAAGGGGTTGAAGAGAGATTTCTAGCAAATCAGAAATCCTAGCATTATCAAAAATTGCCTTGGTAGGACCATGGTCCACAAGGCGAGCATGCCATCTACGGAAAACAACATCAGATTTAGGCCAAGTGCGAATACCTCTTTCACGAAGCGGCCTTAGCGGCAAAGAGTTTAGAAATGGAGGGCCTTGAGTACAAGGGAACAGCTGGCCCACCGCCACTTGTTTGACGGCCTCGGCGTTGTTGAATGAGGGACCTAGATAGAACTCGTTGGATTCAGTATTGGCTGGTGCAAGAAAGTTAGGAGTTATATATGGCTGAGTGAGGAGTTTCTGGAAGTCTTCGAAACTGAAAGAGTCACTAGATTGGGATTGTGAAGCAGCCATTAGGAACAAAATAAAGTTTTGTTAAAGTTTGCTTGAGAAACGTAGCAGAGAAGCAAGAAGATGAACAGTAATATTGCGAGAGAGAAGCGCGAAGCAATGAGACGTAATTTAGTAGTGTGATGAAATGGCGTGTATTTGGGGGTTATAAAGGTTTGCAACGTCGCACCTTTTCAGGCTATGGAAGAAAATAATGATTGAAATTCTTGGAAATTTCAAATGTTGTTGGGAAACACAAAGTGAATATGGCAAAAATTAATAATTGGTATTAATTTTTCTATATTGGGGGGGTAATTGTTGACATGCTAAAAGTGCAGCTCAATTCAAATAGCCCAAAGAATGAAGCCCAACTTGGCAATTCAGGATAAAGGCCCAAATAGGGTTATTAATGAATGCAGTGGAAGCCCACGAACGCGGTAACACCATCGCCTAAACTTACAAGACGCCTAGGATCTGAGCGAATGAAGTGCCTTGCAGTCGCCCAGAGTTATGACCCTGTTCTCGTCCAAACCTTCGAATCGCCCAGGATCTTAGCAAACATGAGATATTATGGTTATCCAAAAGTGCAATTATCGAAGCAGTTATTGGGTAATTTTATCACGTTCCAAGATTCAAGGATGTTCAGTTGAGGACGGTTGAACGACAAAGAGTAATGGCAGCAGTTAGAGACGGAAGTTCCACGATAAGTTGGCCACCATGAAGAAAGTGGGCAGTTATGAAGCAATTAAGCGGATCCTAAGCGGTTGATCACAAAGAGAGCATCAAAGGAATATAAAAGGAAGAAAAGATATAAAGCAAAGGACCCGAATCAAACACTCTCAAACAGAGAATATGTAATTTCGGTTCCTTAGTTTAGACTTACATTTCTTTTCAGTACTCGTGTACTTGCGCCCCTTGGAGGCATTTCTGTTTAAATTCCAATTGTAAAGTCATTGCCAATAAAACATCCATTTTTGAAACTTTGTCTCAAGAGATTTGTCCCTTACACAATCGTCTGATCTCTTTTTAATTGTTAGCAACTACCCACGCGAAACAGTAATTATTTTACCACTACAAAATTTAATAACTATACCACATTATAATCGTACCACAAATAAAATAGATTTTTAATAAATACACCGTAAATGAACTGAAATTTCAATTGAATTCGAATCCTAGTTTTACCAATAACCCAATTTACACTTCACATTATTTCCCGGTAAATTGATAGCAAAAAAAAAATTCACCAATAAACGATACCTAAAAGCTATCCCTGTGCTGACTTCTGCCATCAATTTAGTGGGCTCACGGTTGATGGCTAATTGAGGGGTTAATTTGGGGGAGACGGCGGTATGGTGGACAGAGCAGGAACAAACTGAAGCAAGGAGAAAGAATTGTCTACAGATGGGGGCTGAGGTGCCCAACGAAGTCGATCGCGGAGAGAATGCAAATGGTGGCTGTGAATCGAGAGTTATGGAGAACCACTATGTTGTTGTTGATTGGGAAAAGGAAACGATACATAGAGAAGCAAGAGTCGATGGGGAAAAGGAAACGGGAGAGACACAATTGTTATGAAATGGCTTGGAGAAAGTTTTAATTTAGGGCTGAAAAATTAGAACAAACACGGCATGCACAAAAAGCATGCCGTAAATGATACGCTAATATGGCGTGCACAAGATGCACGCCGTAAATACTTCGAATCAGTAACCTTTCACAGCGTGCATATATTACAGGCCGTAATTTGCCTATTTTTATGGCATGCTGTAAATGAACAATTTTGTTGTAGTGCATCAACAAAACCACCCAAAAAACTCCAGCTAAGCAACAAGTCAGATCAGATTGGAGGAGGAAGAAACCACCTCAAAATACGCCCAAGAGCATCGCGCCTGCGGCTAACTTTATATTATTATTGTTAATATTAAAAAGTTGAATTATCACTTGACTTTCAAACAAAAAAACTTTTAAACCTAATTTTTTAATTGGGAAGTTAAAAATCATGTGAATGTAATTTCCATTTTAAGAAATTGGAGAAGATCTCAACAATTAATATTTTATTTTAATTCAAAAAATCATCAAGGCTTACAATACTTATTTAGATAAATAACTAAAAATTAGATAAAGACTAAATTTCATTGAAGACTAAAGTTAAAAACAGTTACTAAAATTAATGATGAAGACTCAATCCATGTTTGACGATCATTATTTGAGAACTCTTTTATCTAGATACTTATTTTAATCACATAGTTATACAATAAAATATTTTGCATGTAAACCCAAAAAAATTTCTTACTTTTTAACCATCAATTCTCTTAAAAATCATTATCCAAAACTTTTTCCTAAATAATGATTGTCAAACGGGGACTCAATCTTCATCAAAAGTAAATTTAGATTAAAAAAAAAAGTAAAATTAATGACTAAAATTTAGAAAAAATTGCAACCGAGGTACCAAACCTTTCGTTTATCAGCAGACTTTGTCCAAACCTTTAGTTTGTACCACCCACAGTCCTAAATCTTTCAAAAATATGCACCAGAGGTTCAAATGGATGGAAACCGTCCGTTTGACCGTTAGTTGACTAGAAAAGTTAAAATTTGACCAATTTGGACCAAATTGGAAAGGGCAAAGTGGTACTTTGCATTTTTTCTTAATATTAATAATTAAAATAATTAATAATAACAATAGAAAAGTAAAAACAAAATTAAAAAAAAAAAGGGAATACTGTTCATCTTCATCTTCACCCCATCCCGCGCCGCCCCGCCCCATCCCATCCCATGCCACCCATCTCAGATCCAAATCCAGATCCGGCCAGAGTGGCCAGCGGAACAACTGGTGGTGCTTTAAATTCAAGGATAAATCCATCCCCACAGCCACATGATCCACCAGCAACATCTTCCAACCCTACTGATACTATTAGATATAATGAATGCCTAAAGAATCATGCTGCAAGTGTAGGAGGTCATGTTTTAGATGGATGTGGAGATTTCACGCCCAGTGGAGAAGAGGGCACCCCAGAAGCCTTAAGATGTGCTACTTGTGATTGCCACCGGAGTTTCCATCGAAGAGAGGCCGACGGAGAGCCACAAACTGGCATGTCTCACTACTACACATACAATCCCAACTTCAGCAATAACAATATCCATAGGAACCCGTTATTTCCTCTGCAGAATCAGCATTTTACTTGAGTAAAGGGGTGGGGTGGGGTAGGATGGGACGGGGTGGAGTGGGGTGAAGATGAAGACGAACAGTATTCCCTTTTTCTTTTTCTTTTTCTTTTTACTTTTCTATTGTTATTATTAATTATTTTAATTATTAATATTAAGAAAAAATGCAAAGTACCACTTTGCCCTTTCCAATTTAGTCCAAATTGGTCAAATTTTGACTTTTCTAGTCAACTAATGGTCAAACGGACGGTTTCCATCCATTTAAACCTCTGGTGCATATTTTTGAAAGGTTGGGCACTGTGGGTGGCACAAACTAAAGGTTTGGGCAAAGTCTGCTAATAAACGAAAGGTTTGGTACCTCGGCTGCAATTTTCCCTAAAATTTATTATGATGTCTCGATCTACATCACTTTCGTATTTTGAAGTTCTTGATTTTTGTATTTTGGGTGGATTCGGGACTTTCTTTTTGCGAGCAAGAGACCGATTACTTTGATTAGAACTACAAAATAATTTTTGTTTTTCTTTTCAATGTACTAAAACTTAAAAGTGGATTTTGGACTTTCTTTTTGCGAGCATGAGACCGATAACTTTGATCAGAACTTCAAAATAATTTTTTTTTTTTTTTTTTTGATAACCCAGGTGTCCCAGCTTAGCCGGACTAAATCCTGGACCTCTAGCCCCCGGCCCCTCAGTGACTAGTGGAGGTAAATCACAGGTTGTGCCCTTGTTGGTTCCCAGGTTCCCACATGGCTTTTACTCCTTCCCCAAAGGGACCCTCCTCCATGGTTATTATATCACCAAGCTGCTCCAACCCTTCCTCTGGTTATTACATCACTTGGCTGCTCCAACCAGGAATCGAACTCCCCACACTTGGTTCCAGAGCCCCCCAATGTGATTGTTCCGCCAACTTGGATGTGCCCTGGGGGGCCAACTTCAAAATAATTTTTGTTTTACTTTCTATATACTAAAAGAAAAAAAAATATGGAGTCAAAATTAATATTAAATAATCTAGAGATTAGCTAAGCCCTTGTTTGTCTTTCTTTAAAAAAATAAATAAATTTAATTTTTATACTCATTTTCAACCATGTATTCACACAATAAAATATTTGCATGTAAATCTAAATTTTTTCCTACTTTTTAACCACATATTCTTCAAAAATTTGCTATTTAAAACATCATTTTTCTCAATAATGACCATCAAACAAGGGCTTAAGTGTAATTTTCCATATATATTCAAACCTTTCCTTCACACATCCCCCCAGTTAGGGATGTCAACGAGTCGAATCGATTCGACTCGGAGCCGAAACTCGAGACTCGGGTTCGACTCTAGTAAAATATGCGAGTTTTTTTTCGAGTTCGAGCAGGGCCAAACCAAAAAAATTAGGCTCGACTCGAGCTTTCGACTCAGCTGACTGCCTTTCAAGGTAGCATTTTGGAGACTTTTTTTTTCTTTTTTAAGGCTGACGGTCGGCTCGGGCTCAGCCCGTCCTCCCAAAATGGGGTTCAGCCCGAGCCTCAAGCTTGGCCACCTTGTGCTTTTTTCGGGTCGAGCCACGAGCGGCCCAAGCCGGCGAACCGAATTGTCATCCCTACCCACAGTCCTTAGATTTAAGAATTTGGAGGTGACCCAAAATCTTTGATGAAAGTAATCGAGAGTTCTAATTAAAGTACAAATTAAGAAAAAATCTATTTAGAATTCTTTTGGAATCCTATTTGAAGTCTATTGTCAAATTTTAGTTGATGTTTTACTTGGAAGCCCTATTAAAGCATCCAATGATTAATTGGTCGATCATCATCAAAATATCAAAATTAAGACTATCACAAATTGGACTTGTGAAGAAGGTCAAAATTGAAGTCACACATTCAAAACAAGTTCTTCAAGAAAAGTTCTTAAAAGATAAATGCCCAAAAAAATAAAAAATAAATTAAGATAAAAAAGTTAAGAGCCAAACGACAAAAAAAAAAGATCAAAACGAGAGCCAAAGAACCAAACTTCAAAACAGGAACAAAACTAAATTTCTTAGTTCAGATGTAAGGTACTAATAAATATTACTATTGAGTCTCTGAATTGCTGATTCAACTATTGGATTAATGATTCAACCAAGGTGTTTGGTCATATATCAAAATAAATATTACTATTTTAAGCCTTTTGGATTATTTCTTGGTAGCTTTTCTTCTGAAATAGATAAAATTTATAAAATTTCTTAAGTAATTGCCATATTAAATTGCAGTGGTAGCAAGGCTCGAAAGATTTTTCATTTTACAAAAAAGTTCATCACAATGGACATGGTCGGGATGACTGATTCTAAGCCCATTCCAAAAATAGTCCGATTCTATCGGATTTTGACAAATTTTAATGGGCTTTAATCAGGTCAAGCACAAATTTGTTCAGTTGTCTAGCACCCTCATTTTATAATCGTGCTTTAAATATAAATGGTTCTCTTTTAAAAAAAAAAAAAAAAAAATAATAATAATAATAATAATAATAATAATAATAAAATCAACTCTTCAAATTATTTTAATTTTTAAAAATAAGTAGTAAATTTGACTCTATATTTGGAAAATCCAACTCACTCCCTATTTGTATATCATAATGGTTTGCATTTGACAAAATGCATGTTTCGATGCTACATCTCTTAAATTATCAAATTATATATGAATATTTTTAACTATTGGTTATTTAAAAATTGATGGAAAAATAATAGATGATTAGTGGAAAATGTAAAATAAAAAGCTAAAAGTAAATAGTTTTTTAGAGCATATAAAAGATTTTAATACTTAAATTTAAATATGTTATCGTGTATGAATACTACTAAAATTAAAGTTATCAGATATCGTACTCGAACAATTAAACTGTAATAAGACAAACGTCGTCGTATTTCAAAGCACATTTCGAAATAATAAAAGTACTCGCACATTTCATTTAGAATCCCAACTTAGTTTATCATAATGATTGCATTTCACAAATTTCAAGTTTCAATGTTAAATCTCTCAAGCTATCAAATTATATATATATATATATATGAACTTTTTTAACTATTGGTTAATTGAAAATTGTAGAAAAAAAATAAATAAATGATTATCGAAAAAGGTAAAATAAAAAGCTAAAAGTAAATAGTTTTTTAGAGTGTATAGAAGATTTTAATCTATAAATTTAAATATGTTATCAATTATGTAAAAAAAAATACTATTAAAAGTTAAAGTTATTAAAGATTGAACAATTAAATTGAACTACAATGAGAAATTATAAATTTACTTACACATTTCATTTAGAATCCCAATGTAGTTTATCATAAGGATTGCATTTGAAAAATTGCAAGTTTTGATGTTACATCTCTTAAATGACTCAAATTATGTATGAACATTTTTAAACCATTGGTTAATTAAAAATTGTAGAAAAAATAATAAATAATTATTGAAAAAGGTAAAATAAAATGCTAAAAATAAATAGTTTTTAGAGTGTATAGAAGGTTTTAATCTTTAAATTTAAATATGTTATTAATTATGTATAAAATACTATTGAAAAATAAAGTAATCAAAGATCGAACAATCAAATTGAACTACAATGAAACAAACACCACCATATTTCGATGCATGTTTCAAAATAATAAATTACTTACGCATTTCATTTAGAATCCCAACTTTCTTTATAGGGTTGGCAACGGTTCGATTATAGGTCGGTTCGGTCAAAATCATAATCGTACCACCAATTTTTTGACCATACCATAATCGTACCATAACCACGTAAATCGATTCGGTTCGTATCTCGGTTCGATACGGTTCGATTTGATTAATAACCACGAAAATAAATTATTTTTAATAAGTTCATCCGTCAAATTGATATAAAACAATTTATAAAAAAAGTCAATGAAAACAAAAAACACAATTTTCTAAACGAAAATGCAAACATTATCAAACAATATTTCAAACGAAAATGCAAACATTATCCTAATTTTTAATTGTAAAATACAAATTTAACAAATAATATTATAAATATAACAATAGAAAACTTTTCATTCATTCTTAATTGTTGTGCATCGAAGTTACTTGATTCATTCTTCCCAACAAGTCTTAGTAGCATAGATCAACACTCAAAATTGATTCCTATATAGTAAAAAAGAAATGTAAGTAGAAAATACAACGATACTATCTATTCCAGAATGATTTTAACTAAGATTTAAATGAAAAAAAGTACCTCTTCGTCAGCTTCCTCCTCGCTAAACGTTGCACAAGCTCTAGAGTATGATGAAAAAGTAAAATTTTCTACACACAATATAAAAAAATTAACAATAAAAGGAGCCGTGCGTGAGTTTGTGGTTTGTGGAGAGTTGTGTTTGCATTTATATACTGTCATACTAATGCTATTATTATGGGCTAATGGTAAGTGGGTTGGCCGGCTGAGTCAAGTAGATGTAATGGGGGGAGGGATTTTGTTTTAGGCTAGATAGAAAAGTAGTGTAAAGCCCAATAATCAATTCAATTGTTTTTTTTTTTTTTAAGCGAGTAATCGGTTCGGTTTCGGTACAACGGCATAAATATCATACCCGCACTACCACGAACCGGTTCATTAAAATAAAAGTCATATCCGCCCCATTGCACCATCGGTTCGATTTTTTTCATTCTATTCGATTTGGTTAACCGCGATTTTCGATTTTCACAGTTCAAATTGTCATCTCTATTTCTTTATCCAATAAAGAATAAAAGCCTCGAACTTTGTTTAAATCGTTTCTCAACTGAGTTAAAAATATATATATAGGAAACGTTTGCAATCAATTTCCTCTACCTCTTAAAACATTCGCAATATACACCAGACAAACGATAAATTATATTATCTCCGTTCAAATAAATTATGTTGTCTCCAATTCCAAATAAAAAAGTCAGCAGAAGTTCTAGTGATAATATGAATAAATAATGTTCAATACGTACTTTTGGAGATCAAGACCTAGCTCAGTTAATAAAAGCAAAGCTTTACTCGATCAATAATACCTAGGTTTGAGTCTCATTCAAGTAGTTTCCCTCAATTGCTGAAAAATTTAATGAACTTCACATCAAAAGAATTGATTGATACAGTAGACAATTGATCATTCAATTTTTTTCAGTTGTTTCTGATGAGGTTTGGTTGTTAAATTTTAATGGGATTTGAATGCATTTTTATCTGTTTATCAATTTAATTTTGAGTCTGATCTGTATGTATTCACTTCAATGCTGAGAGGTTGAGACTTGAATTCTACTTACATCAATCCAGCAAGAAAATTTGAGAGCCCCATTTTTCAATTTTATGGTGATATATTTCGCAATTTTATTATTTTTTTTTCAAATTTCATCTCATTAATATACTTATTTAGATGATTTTGAAAAATAAAAAATGAAGACTTGGGCATACGGTGTAGACAAAGAATTTATTGGCCATAATAACAAACTTTAATGATCTGATGAGATTGAATGACATTTCATATTCAATCTACTACTATTTCCATGAAGAAAAGAAGGTCAGTTGGCGGAAGCTGTATAAAAAATACCCCCGTAAAGAGGTAGAAATAATTAATACATCTCATAGATCATTAATGAAATTTCTAATGAAAATACGGAATCCATTTTTTAAAACTTAGTTTTCTTCAAATTTATTTTTAATTATATATTTTATGGGATTATCAACTTTTCGATCACATTTCATCAACTTTTCGATCACATTTCATCCACAATGAGGTCTACCTAAAAGGGATTTTTGTGTTTGATAACATTATACGAGCACTTGAAATAATCGCCTAATTAACCGATTGGCAACGAGAAATTGCTTAATATGCTTGTAAGTTCTTAAGGTAAGAATTCTTTAATATTAAAATTGATTTATTATGTGATGATTGTACGGATCAACGTGCCACGTTTGACATATTTAAAGAAAAAAAAAAAAAAGAGTTGAACTCCAATCTTGAGAGCCTATACCGCCCCGCCCCTAGAATTTTGTGAGGGAGGTAAATCGCGATATGTGCCCCAACTGGCCGGGGAACAAGAACTGTCTGTACATTGCGTCTACAAGAAATCCAATTTCATGTCTCAGGAATCGAACCACCACACTGCAACTGTCAGCAAGGCGTGAGATAATCTCACTTCTGTCTTTTACACCACTGGACTATGTCCTGGGGGGCTACATTTGACATATTTAATAACAAGGAATGCTATCCTTGCATATGAATTCCCTGGCCAAAAATACTTTTATTCATCAATATTTTTCTGGTTGTGTAATTTAACCTTTTATTTTTTATTTTTTTATTTATTATTATTATTTTTTTGGGTTGTTGTTGTTTGTGTCATAAACGCAACTACTAAGCAGCTTTACTTTGGGCCGGAAAAAGAAGCCCAATTTCAATTTATAGTCGGGCAAAGTTGTGAAATGCATTCGGCGGAGCCCATTTAAAATTAAGAACAATAGTATTTACCAATTAATCTTCAAAAAATATATATATATATATATATATGTGTGTGTGTGTGTGTGTGTGTGCGCGCGCGCGCGCGCATTTTGTTTTCCAACTTTTTCAAGATTACAATATGTAGTATAAAAGAAAAATTCAAACATGTCCCAACTTGCCCAAAAACTCAAAACTCACATGACTTGATGGCTTAGTTTTAACACTTATTTTCGAATATTTAGTTGAAAATTGTATCAAGCTGTGATGGAATCAATTTGAATATTCTGAAACAATCATTGACAGTCATCAAACTTATAATGGAGTTTCAAATTGGTCACTTTATTTTATTATTTACTCTTTTTTTTTTTTTGGCAACTTAATTACTAAAATTTCACATTTTGTTTTATGAAAATGATGACGTCGCTCAAAGAATCCACTGTTAGTTCTATTAACACTATTGAAATAATATGAAAATTCATTTATCAAATTGAAAAAACGACACTATAAATTTAATGACTAACAATGTAATATAATTGTCGAGTGGGTAACATATTAGCATTTGAATGTTATTCCATTAATGAAGAGTTGGGAAAGTTGCTCTTTTATGTCATTTCTCAAAAATGTGCCCCCTACTTTAATTTGTTGGGCAATTTATTTGACCCAAGTTGATAAGAACACATTAATTTCTATATGTTCCAAAGTTGACAAGCAAGGTGGATGTGACATAGGTACCGAAATATTGGATGGAAAGACACCAAATAGCGTGTAGGAGATGAAATTACTAGAAAAAGGTATGACATGCAGCAATGGGATTAAGCCTGCCCACAAAATCTTGTTAAAAAAAATTAAAGAATGACAAGATTGATTTCTAATTACGTGTTAAACGTTTATAGCATGATTGACACGTTGAAAATAGGACGTGAAAATTTAAAAAATAAGTAAAATTTGTTTGTTGTCGTGTCTATTCACATCAAACTTGAGGTGCAACAGAACCTTGCGATTTTTAACTATTAAGTTTTAGAAGTGATCCACGATTCCAAGTAGGTAAACTTGAAGAAAGTAACCTAGATTTTCAGATAAATAAATACTAAGAGTATAGCTCGCTATTTATAACAATGATCACCTATTATTTTAAGCTCAGAACTAACTTTTCTTACATCTTTTAATCGACTCAAAGTAACAACTATGCCCTCAATCATCATGAGCATGTTTGGACATGAAAATTACTTCATAAAAAAAGGAAGTTATGTTTGATTAATAATTAACAACACAACATTTCTAAAGGAAGGAGAGAGTGGTCACCAACTATAATTTTTAGGGAAAATTGCAGCAGCGATTTCTAACCTTTTCATTTTTTGTAGATTTTACTCTAACTTTCATTTTGTGTCAGCGTAGGTTCCTAACCTTTCATAAATATACACTTGAGGTCCATTTGGATGGAAATCATCCAAAATAATTAAAGAATCAACATTCAATAAAATCATCAAAAACACAGTCCAAAAAGGTATCAACATTCAATAAAACCGTCACGATAGCAGATGGTTCAAGAAATTTTCCTAGTCAATCGATAGTGTTTTGGACGGTTTCCGTTCAGATGGATCTCAGGTGCATATTTATGAAAGGTTAGAGACCTTCACTTGCACAAAATGAAAGTTAGTGTAAAGTCTGCAAAAAAATAAAAAAGTTAAAGAGACTGTTGCTGCAATTCTCCCTAATTTTTATTTTGAAAGCTACAAATATAATCTTTAAAATACTTCTCTCTACCGCTTAGTTTTATGAATCCCCTCGTAAAAAGTATAGTCCCCCACCCAAATTTAAAAGTATTTTAATAATAAACATAGGATATTTATGTTGGTCTCTTCATTTGTTTTTGGTGTCTGCACCTAATCGAAACACATACATAAAATTGATATATGCACGCACGTTGTATTTTGCATGACCCAAACCATACGCAATACTTTGGGCATCTAACGACACAACGCAGGATAATGAACCTTTATATAACATAAAATCGTCTAACCGAGCTTTTAAAAAGTCAAACTGCGCCGAAATTAAGAAGTTGCTTCTGAATATATTTAGATTTTTTTTTTCTTCTGTTAGTGTTTTATCTAAATAAAGGAGCTTTATTAATATAATGTAGCTTCTACCGGACGTAAAAGCAAAAGAAAAAAAACAAAAATCCTACCAAACGATGAATGGAAATCTAAAACGAGATAGAGGGGGCGCGGGGGAGGGATTAATAACATTACTTAAATAGACTTTTTAATCAATTATGAAATTAAACCATTGAAATTCAACTATTATAGTTATTCTATAAATCACAATAAATGATATATTGATTACGTTTAGTTGCATTGGACCGATTGCAAAATTTTAAGCTGCAATTTGTAAATGAAGTGTTTTAAATAACAATAAATTATCTTTGCTTTCAAAATTCAAATGAAATTCTAGGGAAAAGTTCACTACTAGTCCCCTACACATTGCCAAGTCGCAAGTTGACACCAACCTTTAAATATAATCGGTTGTGATATATGTACATCATAATTTACAAATTTGTTTATCAACAAATAATGTGGAAAGATTTGATTGGATCAGAATTTCATCAACCAAATAACAGAAAAAACTTCTGACTTTCTTTTTAATACACCATCAATTTGTAAAAGATTATGTAAATAATGATGTACAACAAGTATTTTCCAAATATAATTGCCCGATGAATCCCAAATAACATTAGATTTCCAAAACTACATAAAATTGTAAGGATGAGACCATTAGAGTTTCGTCTTGGCAATTTTTTTCTAGTAGTTCGTTGTCGTAAAGTTGGCTTGATTAGAATCACATAACAATTTAACAGAGTTTTGTATTGTTTCCATTGTTGGCTACTAATTGTGCTATTATGTTAAAGATCAAAGATCCCCGTAAATTGAACGATAGTTTGGCGACCAATTATGCAATATTCTCCAACATTTATAGTCAATTGGAAATGAACAACGGTGTAGTTGGATTTGATTTAGTTTTGCTTTAAAAGCTAGTGAGCTTTCAATATTAATCTATACACACAAATATAGATACAAACACACAAGTCTCTTAAACAAACAACTCTCTAAGCAATGAATGAGGCCTTGCTGCAATTTGTTTAATTGCAATATTTACTACAATTTTCCCTTTTCTGCAACCATCTTGGGATTTTTTCCAACAATTAATATATTTCCTGCCCCTCAATTTACACTCCCTCGTCTTCTACCATTCCTTCTTCAATTCATCTCTCTCTCTCTCTCTCTCTCTCCATCCATAATTTAATTAAGCTTTAAAGTAATCCCATCTCTCCTCTCGAGCCCTCTTATATATAATTCCTCAGAACTTCAAAACCAACAACCAAACCCTATTCATCTAGTCCATGTTAGCTGTGGTTTTCACTACCGTGCAGCCACCTCTCTATTCTCTAACCGCCGAAGCCGCCGATATAACTACAAGAGCCTTATCATCTCAAGGTGGGTATGATCAGGCTTTTTTAGTTGTGTAATTCAATCATTTTAAAAGGCTTTTGGTTAGTTCTTAATTGTTGTTCAGATTTAGACAGGTGACGAAGAGAAATTCTTGGAAACAAAAGCCATGAGCCGAAGGAACGGACCGAAACTTGACCTCAAGTTGAATTTGTCACCACCAAGGATGAGCAGGCCACGAGTTGAGTCTCCAGACCGATCATCGATGGTAGGCGACCCTATGTCTCCGCCAAGTTCCTGCGTGTCGTCCGAACTCAGTCGGGATGAGTCCCTCCTTTACTCCAACAGCCCAGAGGCCACATCCATGGTGCTGGTCGGGTGTCCTCGTTGTCTCATGTATGTCATGCTAGCAGAAGAGGACCCCAAATGCCCCAAATGCAAAAGCACTGTTTTGCTTGACGTTATCCATCAGAAGAACACCAGCACCTCCAAGAGAACAAAGAAGACTTAGCCACCCCCACCCCCACCCCCCTTTCTTTTTGTATTGCAAGTAGCACTATTGTGCTTCCAATTCCAGTATGATTAATAAGAAGGAAAAAGTGGAGCTTGAATAGTGCTATCTTCTGTTTTCTTTTATGTTGTTTCTCTCAATTTCTAAACAAACGAAGTGGATCTAGTATAGGAGTAATGTTTATGGGTGCAGGAGTTGTCCATCTTTAGCAGAAAACCATGTACATGGACAGACCACAACTACCTTAATTTTCTTATCAAAAATATTTTAGGGTAACATTTTCAGGGTCTTTTTGCAATAGACTGGTGTTTGCCTCCACTCCCAGCATGCCACAACAGCAAATCAACAGTCACCTAGCTAAACTCTATGTTGCTAGTAAGAAACGGAATATGGGTAAACCTTTTTTTCCCTGCTTTTTGGACCCACCAGGTGTACCAACCTCACAAGTTCTGGTAAACATAAACAGCCAAATAACTTTTGCCTCCCAATCCGTAGGCCATAACCACTTCTTGTCAAGGATTATGCCACTTTGCAAGAAGAATTTTGACAGATGCAGTAACAAAAATGTAAGTGGCAAGAGATGATTGGATGGAAAAATTGATCGTGTTTTTTAAATCCAATGATAAAATGCCATGAGATATTATGTCAACCTTTCTATCAATCAATCTGGCACTGTAGCACGATTGCATGAATATTGTTGTCATATCTATCTCGCACAATGCAGACAATTAAAAATTCAAATATGATATACATAACATAGCATTATAATAAATAATAATAAAAAAAAACTAAATTTTAAATTATGCATGACATTAAGACTGTAAAATATGCCTCGATATCATCGATAACAAATCAAGGAATAACTTGCTTCCTATAGAGAAATTTAGGCCCCGTTTGGTAGTGATTTTTCACCCAAAAAAAATTCGTTTTTTGATCGTCATTTCACTATTTCAACCGTCATTTTGACTTTTTTGCTCATATGTGGCCCCCACTTTTCTTCCTAATGGTCCAAAAATCAATTCTCAAAATCACTATCAAACGGATCCTTAATATATTTTAACCAAAATAATCAATAACTATTGACACAAGATGTACATGCATGTGGAGTTATTAACTTATTATTAGGGGCGAGATGTTAGTAATGAATCAAGAAAGGGGTAGTTAGGTCTATGTACAAGGAATTGGATTGAAGTTGGGGGTAGTTCGAAGCATTGATAAAAAGAAGAGGCACTATATTAGATTGAGAGACCATTAAAACCAAATAAATGCAAGAGTAATTGAGACAGTTGAGAATAATGAGGGTATTACGTCATATGATAAATACAAATTTAATTCACAGGCTATCTTCTTATTGTTTTTTCAATGTTCATCTTATTCTCTCCCTTTTATTTATTGTTTTTTGCATCTCATACGGCCTTAATTTCTCAACTCAATAAAGACTAAGGCCATCTTCAATTGCCACCCACTACTATTCATGTTTTCCTATTCATTTCAGTTTTTACTCTACACCCCCCCCCACCCCCCTTCCTTTTTCTAAAAGCCAATCTTGATAATTGAATATTATTTGTCAACTCCAGCCTAAAAATGTCACCCTAAAATGCTCTTGGTGTCATGCTCTCTTGCTTAAATTATCTTTGTTATTGAGCACCGTAACATTCTGGACAAGATTAAAAAAAGAAAGTACAAAGTTTATGTGTCGACAAATATTACGTACTCAACACGTGCGCATTTTTGGCACTTGTTTATTTTCTGTTTATAATCGGCAACCCAGAAGTACTAAACCAATTATTTAAGAAGTCCCAAACATGCTAATACTCAATTTCACTCCTTTCCTCCGATCTCCTTAGCATGGAATATGAAATGGTATAGAACTTTTTGTTAAACTTACCTAACTTGATGTTCAGATATGACCAACATTGCGCATGTATTATCGTTCGTAATCAGGATAATAACGGTCTCGTCTCATGCTGTTCTCTGTTTTTTACTTATGGGAACAGACCTGGATGCAAATTACAATGCTTACTTTTAGTTCATAATTAGTTGACTATATTTGGCAAACTGTTACTTGGTCAAATACTACATCTGTTTTACAGGTACAATAACTAATTATATCAAGTTAATTAAATCAATGTCATCAAACAATTATACGAGGGGCACTTCAAATCCACTGTTACCAGAGATTATTCAAATGATGATTCCTAATTGAAAAACAAAAAGACTAAACTTGGTGCAAGAACTGACAATAGAACATGATTTAGTCCTTATCAATATAAAGCCAAAAAGCCCTCACCGAACCCAATTCTTTATAAATTGCACAAAAACCAAAGAAAACTAAACCTGGTATGCATTAAACCATTAAAATATACAATCATGCTATACATTCGGGCTCAAATTCAAGTTCAAATTAAGATGGAACACGTGTCGACATATGATTGAACAGTTTAAAAAATTAAAACAAAAATACCCAATCATTTTCTAACACATCAGTTTGTCCCTTCACTCTATGTTTTTAAGCCTAGCTAAGTAGCTTTATTCTAAAATATATGACGAGGACATTTAATTAGCCAATGTGAAAACAAAACCGAAAATGGTGTTGTACAGGGAAAATCTTCATTATCCCAACAGACCCCCCTTAATTTAAACTGGCCAAAAGAAAATATAATGTATGACGACAGGATGTGATTCAGCTTAAAGGAAAATCCACTATGAACACTTCATATGAGTTCTAGGTACAGTCAACCACTGATGAAATGACATACAAAATACCAAAAAGAACTCTCCTAAGTACACTTGTATCATACAAAATCATAGACCAGCTGCCCCTGCCCAATATAAAATTAATATTTCAGATAGTCAACAAAGAACTGTAAGCTAAAGTTTCGAGAGATAAAAATGAAGTATTCTAGGCAATGTAAGGAATTGGATAGTCACAAAATGGGATTAGCAGTGATTTGGCGAGTATAGATTATTAGAGGCGTGATTTATGATTTGTTATCTTTTCTTGTAGAGACACATAATATCAGGGATTGATTCCCTCACATAGAATTAGGAATTGATTTTCTTTCCTTTTATGCCTATTTAAAATTCTATAAATTAGAAAGCAAATACATACTGTAAGGGCATTCGGCCAATTCTTGTCATGATATCAGTTTTAAAATAATTTCGAACTTGTGTTTGTTTCGTGTGTTTCCGACGCAATCAGTGACAGGTTCCTCATAGACGGCCTATTGTTGTGTGTGTGATTGGTGACCGGTTCCTAGTAGTCGACCTTCTGTTTCTCGAAGTTGGAGTCAAGGTCTTCGTGGTCGAGTATAAGCCTTCTTGTTGGTGTCAATCCTTTCCTCTTCATTCAGTCGCACTTGTTTTGTCTTCCTGTCGGTGCCGTTCTTTCCAACTTCATTCGATCGCCTTTCTTGGGTTGAAGCAGTGTTCCGGCACTGTCTGAGTCGGATTCTGCTTTTGCTGTTGTGATTCGCAGTGTTTCGATAGGCGTCGTCTGAGATCTGTTGTGGGTGCATTTGGGCTCAAGTCTGGAGTTCAAGATTTCATTTCATTTGAGTTATTGACTTGGTGAGTTAATTGTTGGGCTTGGACTAATTTACTTTGTTGTTTGGGCCATTATTGGTTGGACTTTGGGCTAAGGCTAGTTTACTGTGATTGTAGGGCTATTATTGGTTGAACTTTGGGGTATTGTATATTAGTTGGAATTTATTTGGGTTGTATTTAATTCTTTTAAATCGTACACGGTTTCACCATGTTAACTGAAAAGAATGAGTCTTTGTGTATTCGTTTTATGGGGAAGAATTTTTCTGGACTTTTCACTTTCAATTATTAGTCGAAGGCAAAGGTAATCTATAGAACATATTGATGGAAGCCTTCTGCCCCTTGATCAAGATAAGGATAAGGAGAAGTATCTTGCCTAAAAAACCAATAATTATTGGAATATGGCCTGAATCATCGGATCGGTTGATGCAGAAATTGTCCTTAATCTCATGCCTTACAATTCAGCCCATGTCATGTGAGAATTCTTGAAAAAAGTCTATACCTAAAGCAACAATGCTCAAAGACTTCAATTGGAATTTGAATAGGCAAATTTTTATCAAGACTCGCATTCCATTAAAGAATATTATTCTGCTTTTTCTAATCTCAGGGCTGAGTACATTAATATTATCTAAGCTTCGGTTTTCCCTGATAATTTTGAGGTTGTCCAAGCTATACACGAGGTCATCAAAAAGAATCAATTTCTCATGAAATTGCAGTCTGAATTTGAATCCATTAAGTCCAGCCTTATGAACCACGAGTCTATTCCAACACTGGACCGCTGTTTAGGTGAATTATTGAGGGAGGAGCAATGTCTTATAACTCGTACCTCTTTACAGCAACAGCAAAATCACGTAGCATTGGTTCCTTTTAAACCCCAAGAGATGTCTAGTGTGCAGTGTCACAGCTATAAAGGTTTTGGTCACATGCCTCTTCAATGCCCACGAAAAGTTTGCAATTACTGCAAAAAGGCTAGATATGTCATAAGGAGTGTCCACGGGGAGAGATTTTGTTGTTCCTGTCACATGAGCCTCCAGATTTGCTACACCAGCTACCCCCACTCAAGTTCCAGCCTCTCCCAGTACTTCCCAAAACTCCATCACTCTTGAGATGATCCAACAAATGGTTATTTCTGCTTTGTCTGCCTTAGGCATCTCAGGTAATCTTTCCAATGCTTCCTCCTCTTGGTTATTAGACTCGGGTGCTTCTAATCATATGACTCGTGATTCTCTGTTGCTTAGTAACTTTAGACCATATAATAGATCTCTTCATATAAACATTACCAATGGCAACAATCTTCCTATCTCGACCGTAGGTGATATATCATCAGATTTGCCTAATCTTTTAGTCTCTCATAGTTTATCAACTAATTATATCTATTGGACAACTTATTGATAATAATTGCACCGCGTCTTTTTCTCCTTCATGATTTTGGTGTAAGGCATTGTCTACCGCTATTCACCTCATAAATCAATTATCATCTCCCACCCTTAATATTAATTCTCCGTTTTATAGGCTCTTTGGTCATCATCCCATATATTGCCATCTCCATCCCTTTGGTTGTGTTAGTTTTGTTCATTTACCATCAAATGAAAGTACAAAACTCACGCCTCAATCTGTCAAGTGTGCTTTTCTCAAATGGTTGATCTATTCGACATCTTTATTTGGTAGCTATCCGCCGCATTATTCACTACCTTGTTGAAACTCCGCATCATTCACTACCTTATTGGAACTCTGCATCGTAGTTTGTTCTTTCCTTAACAAATACCTCTTAAACTCCCAGCTTATAATGATGTTAATTCAGCTAGTTGTCATGATTCTCATCGTTCTACTACTGGGTGGTACATCTTTTTTGGAAATGTAAAAAACGAGATTGTATTTTTAAATCCTCCACTGAAGCTGCATACCGAGCTATGTACGCTGCATGTATAGAGGTTGTATGGCTACGTGGTCATCTAGCAAAACTTGGTGTTTCCAGTTTCTCAATCATAGCCTACACCTCTCTATAGCGACAATACTAGCGCAATTCAGATTGCAGCAAATCTTTTGTACCATGAACGCATCAAACACATTGAAGTGGATTGTCATGACATCAGAGACACATATGACTCCAAGATCATCTCTCTTCCCCATATTTCCACTGATTAGCAGGTTGCAGATATCTTCACCAATTCTATGATTCGCCTTCGCCATAATTTTCTCATCGGCAAATTGATGCTTGTCGACTCCCCAGCATCAATTTGATGGGGGTATTAGAGGCGTGACTTATGATTTATTTTTTGTCTTTCCTTGTATAGACACATACTATCAGGGACTGATTCCATCACATAGAATTAGGAATTGATTTTCTTTCCTTTTATGCCTATGTAATATTCTATAAATTAAAAAGCAAAGAGAGATCATGGAATTCATCATATAAACTCAACTCTCTTTCATAAAAGATTAGAGGCAATGGAAATCCAAGCATCAGTGGAAAAGTGTACTAGAAAGAGGACTTCAAAACAATCATGCAAAATAACCTATTACCTTAAAAAATGTAAATGCAAGTTGACAACAATGTAAACTGAAGACCAATTAAAGTCAAATAGATCACCCATTCATATATTTCATAACACAATAAAACCAACACACTAATATTACCTTTCATCCAAGCATTAATGAGATTATCTTGTGTAGTCCACCTCGGTTTCAGCTAGCTTACCTATCCATTGCTTCTATACTGTATGTATTTCATCAGCAATAAGCGTAAAACAAAAGCAAACAAAATTCTATCTGTAGTGTGTAGAAGTTAAGTATAATATCTTCTCTGGAAGTATGCTAAAAACTGATCCACAAAGTAAGAGAACAAAAAGCACATGGATACAACTTGTATAGGTATAGAGCAAATGTAAATGATTTAAAAATTGGCATGTTTACACTCTTTTTTCACATGTAATGCTAAATCACATTAATTGTTTGCAAACACTAAAATTTTCATGAATAATTGTAAAGGAATTTATAGCTATTTATATTCATGACATTTGTTTTTCAATTTTTTTTTTACACTTACAGAAGCATAAAATGTTTCAATAAAGAATATCTAGTTCTTGTTTAAAAAATTATTATATCCAGTAATTTTTTTAAAAAAGAAAATGTATAGTAAGGTAAAATCAACAGTAGATTTTATTTTTCTCAATAAAGTCTGAGTTCCAACTGCAAATTAAACTTTTAGAATTTCAATCATTTGAAATATTATTGGCTAATTATGACACTAGTTCATTCTACATCCTCATACACCAAGTATTTCTCATTCAGTTATTAAAATGTTCAGTAAATGGCAGATTTTTTCAATTATTTGCACGTGACTGTTAATTATAAAAATCAACATAGAAGATTTTTTCTCCACACCAAAGAGTAAGGGAAAAGAAGCTTAAATAAGAAATAAGATATAAAAACGACCGCTTAAAGTCATTATTCTTCCCATGGTTTGCATAAGCTCTATAGCTTTGTTCACCTAAAATATTTTCTTAATGTCCTCTAAACTCTATTTTTTATACCACAAGGAGGCAAAGTTTTTGATAACATGTCTTCATGCTAGAGAACAATGGAAAAAAATCCAGATTGAAGTAAAAAAATATTTTATAATAGTGCAACTTTTGTCTCAAAAGCAACTGTATAAGCATAGGGAGAATCTAGTGTTCTCATAACCTCAATCCTTTTGAAAGTTGACACTCCCGCGCCAAACAAAAGTCCACATGGAAACATCCAAGTTTTCTTTCACAATGCTACTCTTGAGCTGGACAAATGTAGTCAAATACCTTTCCAGGAGAACAATAACAATAGTCAGGTCTCCATGAATTATATGACAACAGCAATAACTAGTTTTCTTTTAGTAAATTGTCAATACTTCTTTGGTAGTTGATAAAGTTCAACAATCCAGTGGTTTCTTGACCTACATCCTTCCTTCACAGCTTAATGCGCTTTAGAGAGCTTATTTAGAAATATTTGAGACTAATTTTAAGATATCAATAACCATAATTTGGAAAGTCAATAAACAATGGCATGAATTTCCAAACTTTGACTTCAGATTTATCTTGGGAGACAATAAAGTCTTGTTCTTTTGTTCTTTAGAGTTTCATTCTTTATCTCAACATTAAGCATATTAAAAATTAGCTAGTAACATATTAATTCATCCTGTCAAATTTATATTAAAGTAACAATGCAGTTTTGACAATTTTGAACTTTAAAATGTAAATAGATCTAAGGAAAAGTTCAACATTAATGAATTTCCCAAGGAAGAAAGGAAACTAACATTGTTGTCATAGCATCACAAATAATTAAGTTCTTCTATTCATGCCATACATTTACTATGGCTCACCAAAAGCACACCTGGAATATCCATTTTTTGAACTAGGAACACTAAATGAAAAGTTGCACAATTAACATGTGGGAGACTATATGACATCAATTATTTAATAAAGAAATTTCAGAGATTGACAGACTTTTTCTAAACCAAGGATTTTGATAAATTCTTCATGCGACTTTTTTTTAGATCAATTCATTAAGATGGTACCATGTTTTCCAAGGATGGAAGTGTGTCTTATTTTATTGTCCTACTGTTTGCCACTCTTCTTGTTTGTGTAATAAACTATCACGTATAACAATATCCTGAAAGAGTAATTTGCTCATTTATTTGATTTGGCAGCTGTTTCTTCTTCATCCATTTCTTTATTGATTAGTAACCAAGTAGGCTTTCATTTTAATTTTTATGTACCATAAAGAGAGGTCATGCTTTTCCAAGGGCATGCAGGCTTGCATTTTATGTACAGTAAAGAAGGGTTATGCATTTCTAAAGGGCATACCTCAGGGCAAAGAAAGCTGCAAAACATATTCTTTCTCCTTGAATGCTAGAGGAGCTACAGAAGAAAACAACACCTACAACCTCAATTGCTACTTGACCATGACAAAAAGGCAAACTAGATAAATAACTTCCAATTTCGTGTCAGTACTTAAATTGAAACTCATATTGTTGTGTGCTTACAGAAATCATTTATGCAATGCATTTATTTTGCATACAACAAAATATAAAGAATCTCCATAGGACTTACTTGGTAACTACTCCATAATATTTAGCCTGCTTGATTTACCCTGTTAGTTTTAGAAGCTTTTCGATTCTTTAATTTTCTATTAATACAAATTTCGCCTCAGTTTGATCCTTGGAATTCTAATAATTGAACAATGAACTGTCAAATTGATTATTCAACTTAAATAACTCGACTTTGATTAATAACAATCCATTTATTCCAAGCTATTCTCAGTGCATAATTCTCAGTTGAACTATAACTCTTTTCAGTCTCCTGTAGTATACTATCTCCCAAGGCCAAAAGCGAGTAGAACCAAATTTCCACAGATAGATCCTTTTCATTTTGCTCAGGATGCTCCACGCTGCAGTGTTTTAAAACTACTTATATTTCCTTGAGGTTGGACTCCGGTGCCACTGTTTGTTGTGCCATGAGATCCTCATTTTGAGGTCCATCATCTTTTTCACACTGTGCAATAACATATTCACTAAAGAATGATCACCATTATCTGACAGTCAATATACTTATCCGATCCTCTGCAGACAAAATGATAGTGTGCATCATACTTTAGGGAGAGAGCATTTTTTCATTCTTCCTCTTTCCAATTTAAAGGGTCCTGTTTCACATTAATTTACTATTGTGGCTGTAATATCTTCAGGTTTAAAGTCACCAGCACCTATTCTTACTGGTGTTTCCTTTGCAGATAAATCTTTATTAAACTCTGGACCTGAAGAATGCAACAAAGAGTAGTTGTGATGTGTTTCAATTGTTTGGAGAAGAAGATAAGTGTCTATAAAAGTGCTACAGCAAAAGACAAAGATGTAAATGAGCTTGACCTTGATGTCAGCCATGAGTCAGGGGTTTTAGATCCAGAATGGTGTGAAGTTGAAAATGTTGAATGGGATGACAGGGAACTATCCTGGATGGCATTGCTTTGAACTTTGAATGTGAAGGGATCAAACAAAGAACTTGAAGATCTTAAAGGTGACTGTGATCATGATGCAGTGTAATCTGGCTGGGGATGAATACAAAGAGAAACCCCAAGCTTTCTTTAAGCAATGTCCATTTAGACTTCCAATATCCCTTCAATTTTGCTTCCCCTCCATGTAATACTTTCTCCTACTTATGGGAGTTAACCAAGCTGGGGGAGAAGAATCTCCATGTCTCACAGATCTTTGACGATTTCTTCAGAGGTGGATGGCTCCCTGTGGCTTATGTGATGCCGCAAAAGAACAACATTAATATCTGGGGCAGCCTTGCAAGCCTCTTCACCCCTTAGGGATACTTGAGCAGTTTGCAACCCACTCTGGAGCAAGCCTTTGGGGATGTTGGACTGTCAGGATGATTCAGAGTTACTTGATGATCAATTTAAGTTCCCCCTGGAAACTTTTTTGTGATGCGTGAACTACTCAAATAAGATGCATTATGGTGTTTATCCTACTCCTTTCATCACTATAGCAAAATTCATGTTGGCCAAAGAGTCAACAATCCAATTTCCTAAAAGATATTCATTTGAGGGATCCACAACCTCCTCGTAGACAATTTGAACCCAACTGATCATCGTTTTCTTTCGCAAATTGAGTACCTTCTGACTTCTGTGCTGTTGTTCATAATACTATCACCTCTGCCAAATTTACGTACAGCTCTGGGCTGCCCTTTTTAACATGAAAGAGTTCATGGTTCTCCACATATTCATTTACCTTCAAGTTTTCTCCTAGCTTTCTCAGCACTTGCAGGGTAATCATAAACTACAAAAGCATACTTGTCTTCAGATGTATGGTACATATATCAAAACTCTGTAATACCTTTCAAGGTCACTTTTATGACTGCGAGATGATAGATTCCTGTGATGCAAAGACACCCAGAAGATCAAATCACCTACATAAGTATACGCATGGATTCAATTGAATGTACATATGAATAGTTGTGAACACATGCACAAGTGCATCAAAGAATAAGCAAAGAATAGGATGAATTTAAGGTGTCCAGCTCTGTATTTTAATCAAATTAATTCAATAAGCCAATGCACTTAACTGACAAAGGAACAGATAGTTCCTTCCTGCGATTATGTTTCAAAGTTCATCTTGAAAAAATTATTATAATTTGCAGTCGACATAGTGAGTCAGCATTAACCATTCAACATCGAATTGTAGTCCATTCAACAATCATTTAAAACATGCCTGATCTAATTCAATGTAGACTGAAAAGAAATGTATAATATCCAGAACTGTAGCCTGAATTTGCTAAGGATTGCCATTCCAATATAAAAGCCTAAATTGAATAACAATAATCACAGACCATTCTTCCAGATGGATTTCATTATCAATGATCATTAAGGTAAATGCACGATTAATACATTTATGTACTTAAAACAGATACTTGACAGGAAAAACAATCCACTGCAACGGATAATGCACACAATTAAATGTTCCCGATTCATCGACAATAGTCCTGAATAAACCAAAGAAGGAAAGAACGTAAAAGAAATATAGCATTTTAATTAAAGATTTCCCTAAACGAACTAAAAAATATAAATATAGATCACATATATACTATTGATCTAAACAAAAATATCGTAGTTTACCAAACGAGAATACTAATTACCGAGGAAAGATTGTGACGAACTGACGATTAACACTTCCTTTTGCTGTGAATGAATCTACTTAGTCCAATACTCGAACTACGAAAGAACGGAGAATTTAATTGAGTTTACGTATGTGATTTGACTGAATAAAGAAGGTACCAATGTTTAATTTTAGGTAATATCACTATTCATCCCCAACCTTTGAGAAAAGGTAGCAAACCTCCTCATCCATTTTTTATTTGGATTATATCCCCGACCTTCAGAGAAATGCCGTCCCCATATTTGTCCGTCACATCCCCGTGTTGGATTAATTTGGTGGACTAACATAAGGGAACATCACATAAATCCTCCATTTAAAAATCACATTTTAAAATTAACAAACTTCTAAAAATCTTTCAAAAATAAGATGACAATTAAATATTTAATTATAATATAGTATAATTAATCTACTTATCTTACCCCACCTCCAATCCATCCACTCATCACATCAAACTCTTCTCTTTCTCTCTCCATCCCACCTCACCTCTGACGATGACTCGGTAGCTTCTCCGAAAACTTCCGACGACGGCTTCGACAACAATTTCGATAACTTATCCCGTTCCGGGTAATATTCTAGCGGCTTCCAATGACCACTCACCTTTCCACCGACTACCTTTTTTTCTCTGATTTTTTGGCAATGACCTGTGACCAGTTGCATTAAATCTGTGGCCTGTGTACATTGTGATCTGTGATCTGTTTTATTAAATCTGTGACCTAATCAGATGGGATGAATATGCATATGATCAATTTTAAAATTAAGAAATAAAGTTTGAAATTTCAAAAATCAAATAATATTAAAATTCTAGTTATGAAATAATTAATCAAAAAAATATTTTTGTAATTAAATATATTAAATTTACAATTTTTTTGGTCTTTTTCTAGGCAATAACTTGTGACTTGTGTACATTGTGACATAAAATATGATTTTCAACATATAATTTGTTACTCGTGACTCGTAATATAAAATGTGACCTATTAATTTGATCCGTGACTTCTACAAAACGATATGTGGCCTGTTAATATTGATCTATGATCCGTTTATACTGATTTGTGACTTATATGAAATGACCGTGACTTATGAACTCAAACCTGTCAATTAAAAAATGATAATAATAAAAGTAAAAACTGAGAACGTCACAATGTCAAGTTCTTGGCCTTCAAAATTTGTGACCAGATTAGTGTTATATGTAACTAATTGTGACCAAATTTGTCTTTAGTGTGACTATTCGTGATTATTTAATTTGTGATTATATGTAACCATGTGATTAACTTGTATTATCTATGACTAATTGTGACCAAATTTATTTTCAATGTGACTAATCGTGACCAAATTTATCTGCAGTGTGACTATCTATGACCATGTTAATCTTAGCTATAACAGTATATGATCAAGTCACAATTGGTCATAATTAACACAAAATTGGTCACGATCGATCACAATAAACGCATACTTGGTCACAAAGAGTTACCACAAATAACCTGTACACACTGCAGACCAGCACCACAATCCACCACCATCAACACCAATGTACCATCACTACCACCTTCAACTTAAATCCACAACCATAAATACTACATTTATCTCAAATCCATGACAACAATCACAATCGCCACTACCAACACATTCAATAAGCTGACCATGGCACAACTTGCCTGTTTATGGTCACCACAACAAATAATGAACCTCCTCACCCTACTATCACAACCTCTACCTGTTCCACCACAATCACAGCCACCATCGCCATAAACAATAAATATACATTTTCAAACATAAATCCAAAGAGATGATAAAGAGTGAAGAGATGGTAAGAATAAAAAGTGAAAGATGAAATTTGGGATGCCACTTGAGAAAAAAGCCTCTGGATATATCATCACTGACCAAGTTTGAATCAATATCAAATCAAAAATAAAGTTTGCTTATATTTCCTTCAAAATCATGGAGTAAAAAAAGGACGCTAGTTAAAATACTACAGACAATATATATAGATCCATACAAAACTATTGTAAGTAAAAAGAAAAAAAACGACAAAAGCAGCACAGATCTAAAGCGGGGCAAAGGAGTGAGTTCTTAGGCAACCACTACGAATGTTTAGAGAAAGAAGCTTTCAATTTGCCGTCACCGACGCCAATTCCATAAAACCTTGCAAGAACTCTCCACCCCTACCTGTGATTTTGGATATTTCTAGGGTGGATGCGTTAGTGGGTCGTGGGGAGAGAGAGAGAAGGTTGAAATTGATTTTGAGGATGAATGTGGGGGATTGGGTGTGGGGTGGAGTGATATAGGTAGATTAGGTGTAATTAAATTTTCATTAATTTTAATGAATAAAACTTAACTAACACCTGATTTGTGAAAATGAAATTTAATCCCCTTTGTTTTGAAAATTAATCTTTAAATGTAGGTTTGTAGGTAATTCTCCCCTAACATAATATAATGACAATTGACTTTTTGGGTCATTTACGATATGGACAACATTACACTACTTGTCATACTTTGGGCCCTTGGGTCCACTATTCTTTCTTGTCCAAGCCTATCCATTGGGCTTGTGGGCCACTAAAAGGGTTTTCAGATTTATATATACACATATATGCTCTCTTTGGTGTGTGTATAAAGTGAATGAGATTGAAGAATTGGATTCAAAAGAACCCTAGTCTCCCTGTCTCGTTTTCTATCTGATTTGTAGGTTCTTCATTGATCTATCATGGCTTCTAATCAAGTTTTACTAACCATTGGAGGTATGTTTTCATTTATTATTGTTCATCACATGTTATGACTATGAGAAGAAATTATCAAATCTATTGAAGTTTAGCAATTGGTATCAGAGCCTGCCTTATCAATTTTATAGCTATTTTTTTCATTGCAAAATTCCTCCTGTTAGCAATTTCTTTAGGCTTCACTGATAATTTTTTTTACTGGAGATTATTGATTAATTATGATAAAATGATGATTTCAACGGAACAGTGGGTTTCAATAGTAATGCACAGTTTGGATTCTTTTATCTGTCAATAACATAGTCAACTGTTTTTCAAAGACGAGAGTGGTGGACTATGGAAGGTAGCTTTTTTGGAAGCCATGTGCTGTAGTCATGAAAGTGATAATGTTGTGTTTTTTTTAATTGATTGGTTTTAAATACCTATAATGTTAGCCGATTGGTGTTGGGCCATTAGTAGAATACAGAGGATTTAAAATCTCGAGTGCTCCAGTTCTGTTATAAAATATATATATATATATATATATATATATATATATATATATAGAATTTTGTGATATTGCTCCATACTTGTTAATTGGGCAAAAAAGAAATGGATAATCTCTTTTCAGATGAATAAATATTTTGTCAATGTGAGTTATATCACCTTATTGTAATACCGATGGTGTAGAGCGACTATGTACTCACCTCTCGTAGGACTAGTCATGATAAAATTATCATGATTGTGTATTGTGTTTATGCTCCTGCTTAACGACATTTTACTAAGATCCATGCAAATAGTGAATTTGCCCTCTCGGTAAATCATTATTTGGTAGGATGCTTAGATTGGTGAAGAGAATGCATGAAATATTATGAACCGGCACAATTTTTACTATCCTATCGGTAGTGGATTGATGCATTTGGTTGTGATACTAAATGTATTGCTCTTACCTGTGAATGAGTCAATGGACTCTAACATTCGATGATCACTTTTGTAGATCATTTAAGAAAGTTGAAGAAAGAGTAAATATCATGATCATGTTTTTCACATGCATATTGATATCGCTCTTGTGTTTTTCTCCAGCTTTGGGCAATCCTCAATTTTCTGTCATTCTGAAGTTAAATGAGACTAATCATAAACAATGAGTTGAATCTCTCATGATGAATCTTACCATCATGAAGTTGGATTAGGCCTTGAGAGATGACTCTCCTCCTAAGCCTACTACTGAAACTTCTGTCGATGAAAAAAAGCTTTATGATGACTGGGAGTGTTCAAACTGGTATTCTTTAATGATCATGAGGTATCACATGGAGGACTCTATATGTGATAGCATTGCAAATATTGAGACTGCTAAGGCATTTCTAGAAACTATCAACAAGAAGTACAAAAAGTTATCCAAGAATGAGAAGAATGAGCTTCTGAGCACTCTACATTCCACTATTTATGACGGTGTCAGTGGAATTAGAGAGCACATTGACAAGATTGTGGCTTGTTATCATAAGATCAAGGCAATTGGTATGGAACTTGATGAGGACTACATTGTGTGGTTCATTATGGGGACTCTTCTCTCACAGTTTGACTCCATTGAGTCTAGTTACAATGCTCAAAAAGAACAATGGACCATAGAGGAGATGACTATCATTCTTGCCAAAGAAGAGGATGATATAAAAAAAGGGAAGGGCAAGAAGTGTGGCTATGGTAACGAACTAGAACAACAATGGTCAGAAAAGAAAGCCTCTACAAAAGATACCAATGACAACAAGCCCTTCAAGAAACAGAACACGGACAACAAAAGGAATGGACAAGGAGCGTCCTTAGCTTCCAATGTTCCCAAAAACGAGGGCTTTAAAGAAAAATGCAATTACTGCCAGAAGTTTGGGCACAAGAAGGCATATTACCTAAAGCTCAAGGCCAGAATGGAGAAGAAATATAATCTTTTGGTAAATGTTTGCTTGGAGTCAAATATTATTGATGTGCCTTCTAATACTTGGTGGTTAGACACTGGTGCTACAATTCATGTTACCAATTCCTTACAGCAGATGACAAGCAGAAGGGAACCAACTAGTAAGGAGCAGCACGTGTATGGGATACGGTACAAGAACTGAAGTTGAATTTTTGGGGATGGTCAAATTACAGCTTACCACTGGATTTTTTTTGGAGTTGTATGAAGTTGCATGCATACCTTCGATTAGGAGAAATTTAATATCTGTGTCTATTTTGAATAGAATTGGTTATAGTTTTCTTTTTGAAATTGGAAAAGTTATATTGTACCGTGACTCTGTTTTGATTGGAAATGTAATTTTATATGGTAATCTTTATAAACTTGATTTGGTGGATGTGTCTCTTATTACTTCTTCTTCTCTTAATACTGTTGTTACCATAAAAAAAGTCAAGATTGGATGAAAAATCTTCCATTCTATGGCACAAGCGATTAGGTCATATTTCTAAGCAATGAATGGAAAGATTGATAAAGGATGGGATTCTACAGGATCTTGACTTCTCAG